GGTACCTGTTTGAGGAGATCGCCAGTATCCTACGGAGGGGCCCGGGGTGGGGGGTGATCCCCGGGGCTGCTCCAGGCCGTGGGGGCCGGGGTGGGTGCGGGAGCCCCGCGGGGGTGGCCACAGGCCCCCGGTGTGGCTGGGACTGGAGCGGGAGAGGTGCTGGCAGCTGTGGGGGGGTGAGTGGGAGCTGCTGCAGTCCCAGTTGGAGGGAGCGGGATCCTTAACCCCTCGCCCCAGAGATCTCCCACGAGTCGCCCGGCAGCAGCCAGTGCCTGCTGGAGTATCTCCTCAACCGGCTGCAGAGCAACTCCTGCCATGTCAAGCTGAAGGTAGGTCGGTGGTGATGAGCGGCGGTGGCTGCTGTGGGCTCCCCCGGCTGCAGAGGAGCCCCGAGGCCGGGGTGATGGGCCAGAGCGCGTCTGGGGGCAGGACTGGGGCTGTTGGGGCAGCTGCAGCTTGGCCTTCTCACCCTGAGCCCTGTGTCCGCAGGTGCTGAAGATCCTGCTGCACACGTGCACCCAGGGGTCCCCCCAGTTTGTCATGCAGCTGAAGAGGAATGCCTGCTTCATCCGGGAGGCGGCAGGTAACGGGGTGAGGAGTGGGGGAGCCGGGGCAGGAGAGGGGAGAGCATCCCTGCGTGGTGCTGGAGAGCCCAGCTGGGCTGTGAGGGGGAGCCCAGGGCGGCTCCTGCCTGTGGTGGCTGCTCCAGAGGCCGAGCACTGGCCAGGGCTGGGGTCCTGCCCCATCCTGCCTCGTGCCTGGGAGCCGAGCGTCCCCCAGCCCTCCTGACCTCGTGCCTTGCAGTGTTTGCCGGGCCCCCAGACCCCCTCCACGGCAACAGCTTGAACCAGAAGGTCCGGGCGGCCGCGCAGGTGAGTGCCGGCCTCTTTCCGCCTGCGCAGGGTGAACTGCTTGAGCCCTGCCTGGCGTGACAGGGCGGCTTTGCCTCCCACACCCCATACTGGGGCCTGTCTGGGGTGCCTGGCGCTCCCTGGCTCTCTGCCCACACCCCCTTCTCTTCTGGCAGGACTTGGCTAGCGTTATCTTTTCGGATGCGCCACTCCCCCAGCCTGCCGCGCTGCCTGCCCGTCCCCTGCCTCCTGCGGGTAAGCGCAGGCCCCTCATGGGCACAGTCACCTTCCATGGGCCGCAGTGGCAGCACCGGGACGGTCCCTTCGGTTGGAGCTGTGGGTGTACAGGGGGTCTGCTGCCCAGGGGGGATGGTGGGGGTGAGGGCAGGGTGCCACAGGCCCTGGTGCTGGGAGCCTGGCAGCTTCCCCTGCCCCACCACGGGCCCTGGCACTGCTCGTTGGGGACGTCCTGGCCAGAGCAGGCTGCAGGGTTCTGTGTCAGAGGGAAATGGGTGCCCAGGGGAGCTGCCCGGGTCCCAGCAGCTCCCGGCTGCCCCAGGCATTCCTCTGTTCTTGTAAGGGGGAGGAACAGCAGTGGAGGGGGACCCTGAATGCCTCTTCTCCCTCTCAACGTGCCTTGTGCCTCCCCCAGGCATGGGCTCCAGCCCCAGCCCCTGCGGCTCCCTGCAAGGATTTGGCTTCAGCAGTGAGAAAAGCAGCTCCGGTAAGTCCTTGGCTGTGCCCTCGCCTGGTGCTGCCCCTCACCTTGCGTTGGTGCCCTGCCCGGCACTGCCCCGCCTGTGTGCTGCAGGCCCAGCCCCAGGGTCTTGTCGGGTTAGACCGGGCTCTCAGTGTTCAGAGATGCCTAACCGGGTTGGCAGCTCTCTGGGTGGGTGTTTCTGAGCAACACAGCGTAGAAAGCTTTGTTCTGTGCAGCTCTCCCATTTCCAAGCTCTTGGATGGGTGCTGGGACTGGCAGCATGGCCGTGGGGGTGGCAGTGGGGGCTCTGCTGGGTCCTTCCCTCTGTGAGGTGTGACAGGGACGTGGGCTTGTGCCCTGTGGCCCATCCCGGTCGCTTTCGGGTCTTCCTCACCCCCCTTATCCAGCTAAAAGTCTGGGCTGTGCCTGGAACCCGGCTGCCAGGGCTGCTCCTCTCTGCTGGCAGGTCCCCGCTGTCCCCTGGTGACACCCTGTGTGGCGGTGGGTGCTGGGAGGGGTTGAGTTGGGCTGCCCAGGAAACCTTTGGCCTTTCCCCAGCTTCGACGGGCGAAGCTCTGCTCAGCACCATCCAGCGAGCGGCCGAAGCGGTGGCCCACGCTGTGCTCCCCTCCCTGGAGGGGCCCCGGCCTCGCCGCGGGGAGCTCCACGAGGATGCCTACGAGCCCGTGAGAGCCCCCTCGCCCGCCAGGAGCCTGGCCGGGGCTGTGAAGCCACCAGCAGCCACCTCAGCGCACAGCACCCGAGGTAGGACCCCCACCACCCCCGTGGCTAGCGGCTGCTGGAGGGGGGGCCTGGCGGGGGTCCCCGAGAGGTTCTGGGGCTGGTTTGGGGGTCAAGCCTCGCTGCTGCTGTCCCTGCAGGGAGCCACCAGCCGGGGCTGGCCGGGGGTGGCTGGGAGGAGGCGGACAGCGGACACAGCTCCCAGGACTCCTCGCAGGGCAACGGCGAGTTGAGCCGCACCTCGGACACCTGCAGCAAATCGGGCAGCGACAGCCACTCTGGGGCCAGCCGGGAGCTGGCCCACGTGGCCGAGAGGTGAGAACGGGGCTGTGGGGACCCCCCCCGTTCCCCTGGGAGCCTTCTGAGATGGTTCCTTCATCTCCAGGAACGGTGCCCTCGTTTTCCACACCGTTATTTTGAGTCCCCTGGCACTGCCGGACTGAATTCTCCCTGGTGTGTTTGGCCTCCCGGGACGGGCAGCCTGTGGGGGGGCAGAGCCACGGGCAGGGGAGCTGATCTGGGAGGGATTCCCTGCCCACGGGAGGGTGGTGAGGTCTGCGCTGGGACCCCAGGAGGGAACAGGGCTGTCCCCTGTCCCCACCAAGGTATCTCCCTGAGCAGGGTGGACGCTGACAGCCTGGGCGACTGCGTGCGGGAGGTGAGCCTGGTGTCGGCACTGACCCGTGGTGCCAGGGTCTTCCTCACCAGGGAGGAAGCACAGCACTTCGTCAAGGAGTAAGTACCCGAGGCGAACGCTCCCAGGGACCGTGGGTGCGGGGGAGCGCTGCGGGGCCTTCGGGGGGCAGCCTGAGCTGCTTCTTATCCCGAGCTCGGCACTGGTGAGGCTGCACCTCAGTGACTGGGTTCAGCATTGGGCCCCTCACCCCAAAAAGGCCATTGAATGACTCGAGCGTGGCCAGAGAAGGGCAACGGAGCTGGGGCAGGGTCTGGAGCACAGGTCTGCTGGGGAGCGGCTGGGGGAACTGGGGGGGTTCAGTCTGGAGAAGAGGAGGCTGAGGGGAGACCTCCTGGCCCTCTGCAACTCCCTGCCAGGAGGGGGCAGAGAGGGGGGATGAGTCTCTGGAGCCAAGGCCCCAGCGCCAGGCCCCGAGGGAATGGCCTCAAGCTGCCCAGGGCAGGGTCAGGCTGGCTCTGAGGAAGGATTTCTGTGCAGAAGGGGCTGTTGGGC